GCATTTCTTAGGCGCATTGGTCCTCAAATGGGCATAGATAAGTCAGTTCCTCATTATCCTAAGTCTAATTAATGATCTACCATAATCTTAACACCCAAGAATTTAGATGCCCATTATATATTATAATTTAGGCTTAAGATACTGTCTTCTAAATCTTTTAGAGTTACCTTGTAACAACTTTCCGAAAACAACATTATAGTTGAAAATGGGCAAAAAATTTATAAATGTCAATTAACTACCTATGTGCTCCGATCGCCTGGTTCCAAAGGTTGGCAAATTTCAATGCTGAAGAACTCGCAGAACGAGGACGCCTAGACTTCTTTTCACTATCTGAGTGACGACGATTCCCTTCTAATTGCCCAAGCACTGGCTGCTCCCCTTTAAATGCTCTTGTTGACGACCCATTTAGGCTTGCTGGGAGCTGAAGGTCACCGGTATGAGCCGTAATTAAGCAATCGGCTCCAGTTGTGGCCACCTGCTCAGCTTCTAGATGCAACAAAAGCCTCCGCGACTGACGCTGCTGCTTGCGACTATCACTTTTGGATTTCACTTTTTTCATGCGACCTTCGCCAAAGCCGACCTGTTCTCCACCACCTTCAGTACTATTCCCTAATCCCGGGTGTCTTTTTCGACTTCCTGTCGCCATTTCAGACAAACCAATATTATCTGGGTCAAGGAGGATGCTATCAACGTTCGCTGACGCTGAAACCTCGGCTAGTTCAATGGCACCAATTTCCACATTTCCGACGGGCCGAGTAAGCATTGCAAGTGCAGCAACATTGCTCTCACTGTGACTGGCAGCTCGACGAACTGGTGAAAGGAGCCCAGCCTCGGGTAGACGTCGGCCACTTCCACAACCAATGGCAGCCTGAGTAGCGATGGCAGACGATGTATATAAACCATCAACACCAGCCAGACAGGAGAGATCAAGCAAGCCATTTCCTGAGGCCTGTTGCGAGTGTGAATAGTAGACATGAGGCCTGACGATACTGTGCTCATCCGGGCCGACACTGGAATTGAAACGTCCAGGTCCAGAAATGTGGTTGCCAAGTTGATGAGAATACTCATTAATGGCAGCGGTGGAGGAGGAAGAAGATGAACGGAGGCCCCATCCAGTCGAGTGAGTGTTATGCTGGCGACGAAGGAAATCTATGTGTATAAACACAAATGGGAATGATTAGGCGCAAAACTTATACAACTGTTTTGCAATGCTTATTTTTATATTTTACTATAAAGCAGTCCGCAGTCATTTGGTGCTATTTTACTCAGAATTTGGGCTCAAACATTGTGTTGAGTATTCTTATACAGAAGCACAGATATATAAAAATATTGTTGCTTCGACATTTTTTTCGCAACTTGGTCGGAGCGTCAGGTAAAACTTGTGGAATGTACCTAGTCCACTGTGCTCTGCCATAGTATTCGTGGTTTCCAGAATCGGACCATTAGCTGGGTACATTCCCAAACGTTTCATCGACATCGTCAGTGAGATGCGCCGTCGTAAGTACAGAATTACAACTTATCAAAGTGAAACGTTTGATAATCTACCCAGCAAGTGGTCCGATGCTGGAAATAGCGAATACTATTACAGAGGGCACGGGACTAAGTACGTTCCATGTGATCTACCTGACGCTCCGGCGAAGTTTCGAAAACAAGATCGAACCAACACTATAAAGCTAAAGGAGACTGCGACCACACCATCTTGGTCTTCATATCTCCTATATAAAATTACTGTTTTCTGAAGTTGGTAATAAACTTCAAGTTTTATGGACCACTTAACGATTCCTAACTTATTGGTTAGGGAAATGGACGACTACTACTGGAAAGGAGAGTATAGACAATTTCCTTACTTTAATGAATAGAGTAGTTGGAAGGCTTAAATTTAGTAATAAGTTAGAAAAGGACCTTTACTAGATGTCATAGCTAGTAAAGGGAAAATCAAATCGGATAGAGATATGCATGAAAAACCGATAAATGAGGCATTTATTTTGAATTCTTCTTTTATAATGCTTATAAAGCTAAACTAGGCTAATAAAGGATCTGATTCCTACATATAATTATCGCCGAGATCATCAGATGAGAACGTTAAGGTTAATTGTAGATGAGTAAAATTAGCCCCTATGATTAGTTGACAATTGTATAAAAATATTAGTAATTCGGATAAAGAGAAACATCATTATTGGTGCAAGGCAAACGGCTGGATCCGTCTACTAGGATCCAAATATTACCATCTTCTCTACATAACTGACTGTTGCGATATTATTTTTATGTGGTAGTATGGTATTGGCAGGGACTCGCCGACCCATAATAAGAGGTTATCTGAACATAAAGCGGCCTACAAAAGTTTATGTAGCTAAACATCCAAATTGACCGAATATATGACTTAAGCAGGACACCAGAAAGACTTTTCCAAAGCCAAACTCTTAGCAGCCTGTGGAGATTGGTGAGTTTATAAAATAAAGAAAATGGCCAAAATAATGAATATAGTGAAGGATTGTAGGAAAT